TCACTTGAAGTGCCTTGCCATGGAACCTGAACATCGATTGGCAAGAAGCTCTTTCCTTGACTGGTAACGATGCACGATAAATGCGTATCCATCTCATGCGTACTGAAGGGGAAAGTGTAAGGCACCTTCTGTGTCTGCAAGACGGTGGAGAGCGAACGAATGTTGTTGATTGAGTTGAATGGCTTCACCTTCACCTCCTTGTGACTTTATTGGATTAGCTGAAAGAGCTTGCAGATGCGCTTATGCTACTGCTTTTAGGTCCGTTGATACTTTTCATTACTTCATCATTCTGATTGAGCAGGAAGAGAAAAACCACACAAAGTAGCTGAAGACTTGATCCTGCATCACTAAAGATTATTAAGCACTATCGCCTGCACGAGAAAAGCTTCGAATAATCTCATTTTTGGTACTCCATCAGAAGCACGATATTGAAAAGGTAGGACTTCACCTCCTAGATTGGTTTCGTACAACTATGTTTGATGGTTGTAAAGAAGATTTCGGTTCTTCTCGTTCAACTTGGATAAGAGAGATAGATTATGTAAGCAAGAAGGCATTAATCTCTGGCTGCATCAATTTTAGGCTCTGAAGCTTGTTGTTACAGTACAGTTTGCATGCACAGAGTTTCAGCAGCGTACGCGCCGACGCGTTCTTTCTTACTTTTACTGCATATCGCGAGCAACCTATGACTGAACTTCGACTGTACACGGTTACTACTCTGTTGCGTCCGCTTGAACGCGTGTATTTTTTTTGCAAGACCATATGCGTGTTGAACTCGCCATCACTTTTTAGGTGATAAACACACGCATCATCATTAAGCTAGCAAATAACAAATACCCAATCAAACGACAAAGAAGGCCTTTCATCTTTCCTGCTCGAATTCGGTGCGATACATCATTGCTAGATCCGTATTCGTATAAAGGCGCCGCCGCAATCGATCGCATTCAAAACATCAGACTTATTGATTATACTTTTATTATTCGAGAGCATACACATGCTATTTTCAACGTGATGTGCCTCCATGGACAACAACGAGATTACTGACATTGTCGCCAAAGATGGCACGTCTTTTGATCAGAGGCAATGGCGCGATCTATCCGCCTTCGATGCATTGGATGAAAGTTGGTCAGCTCCAGTACCATTCAAACCCCATAATGATATTGGGGAGAAATCACCTCCTCAAGATTTGGTCACAGCGGAAGATGAAGTTGAGAATTCGAAAGACTCAATACACGATCACAAAGATACCTCAGAAGAGGGAAGGAGTCATACAGAGACAGAACCTGTCACCCTATCCAAATCGGGTCCAGTCGCATCATCCTCGGCACATGCGAAATTCTCGCCTTTACGCACATCCAGAAGGGCCAATGATGTGTTGAGCAAGACATTGGGAGCTGATTTGAACTGGCATAATGCACAGTCTTCTTCAGTTGGAAACGATGATACGACAAAGAGGAGAAGGGGAAAGCCAAGAAGAAGGAGTTCGGGAGCAATGACAGATACAGAGCTATTACAGCCAGGTCCATCAAGCCCATCTTTACGGAAACCGAGCCACAAGCTACCTTCGAATCGAGGCATACAGTTGCTCCATGATCAGAATTCAAACATTCGAAATGCATCCGATCGTGCTATAAGTGAACCTTCCTCCCCTACACCATCTGCTTCTCTCGCATTTCACGATCCGATCTCGCCTTCAAGAACGGCCAGAAGTTCTTCGACATCCAGCTCGGGCGAGAAACAAGGTGCTCATCTATCAGCGCAACTGCAGCATCTCGATTTAGGACCACGTCTACAGGCGCAAAGAGTTGCAGCTTTACGATCGACAGATTCCCATCCTCAGCATTCCAGCCTCCAGAATGAGTCAATGTTTGGTCCTGATCAATTCGGATCGGCGAGAGAGGATATAAGTGCAAGTCAAGGAGCAGTCACAGCAGAAGAAGCGACATTCATCGAACATTCAAATGTCGCTTCTCCACCTGCTTTCTTGAAGCCAGCATGGGCAAAGAAAGATCAGAAAGGAAGGACTCGAGACATCTTCGCACCGCTGCCACTACAGACCATGTTCGAACCTCCTTCTGATACTTCAAGATTAGCATGGAGAAGAGCAGAAGAGCAGGAAGCGCCAGAGTCGTTGCAGGATTCAGTTGACGGCAGGGACGGATCTGTGGACTCTGCGGAGAAAGTCGTTGAGAAAGAAATGCAAAATCAAGATGCAATTGATATCATACGGCCCGTTTCACCCTCGAAATCAGAGAAAGAGGAAGAAGTTGTGGCAACACCAAACGATACAGCTGCTCCGGCAAGCATTCCTCAATGTACATTCACCTTTTCTTCGCCTGTCGTGCAATCGAAAAAGCCACCACCAACTCCATCTACATCTCATGCGCCTCTTCGACTTTTCCATCTGAAAGGTCATGATCGAGAAATTGCACAGATTATCAATACGCCAAGATCTGCCGCTAAATCTCGTGATGCGGAAAAGATGATCTGGAAATTGGTTGAAGAAGAAGGCAAAGGAGATCGTGAAAGCAAACGCCTGAGAATGGATCGAATACCCGACATTTCCGCATTGCCAGACGGACAGAAATTGAAAGAAATTGATGGTGCTGTAAATTATGTCTTGGAAGCCCCCAACTCGATGAATCGTATACGTGCTATGGGAAAAAGGGAGAGCATACCGAATCGCACAATCTCTTCGTCATTGGTCGTTGATCGAAAAGGTGCAAACGCGCCAACGCCAGATCGAGCAAGGCATCCTGCACGTTTTGGTCAGAAGTTAATGCGACATGGGAGAGGAGAAAGTCCACAAAAACTTCTACGCAGATGGAGCGCTGCTAATCAGGTAGACGAAGAGATGATAGAAGAGGGGAAGGAGGGAAATGAAACCGCATCTGATGAGGCCTGGCAAGATCTTGCACATGAAGACGAGCCTGTCCGAATCCCGTCAAGTTCCTCTTCCATCACGCCAATGACTCGCGTACCGAGTGTTTCGATCGATCCACCTGATTCTCCTGACGCAAACGAGCAGCGAGACAGTGTTCCGAGGTTACCGAAAAATCTCGCTTCCCTTGGACACTCTACAGATCGACCAGGAATGGGGCACATTTCTCCCGATACAGTCCCGATTCAGAATTTGCAGGCAATGTCTCATGGAAGGATGACTCTTGACCCGAAAAGGAATCGATGGATTCGTACTCATCCGGGTTTGAACGGCAAAAGTTCAGAAATACCGGAAGATTCTACCGATCCTTTTCACGATTTCGAAAGTCTTCAATCTTCCGTTCGACAAATGCCGACATTGCAAAAAGGTGAACGTTCTTTCACCACGTCTAGAAACTCAATAGGCAGTCCAGACCATGACCGTCTGGCACTACCATCGGGATCATCTCCTCTGTCGAATAGTGCATTGTTGACGCCTGCAAGAAACGTCAAAGCTGATCCGAACTCATCCGTCACGCCAAAGTCAATCTTGAAAACGGCAGGCGCTTCAGCGAGACGGCCAATGGATCAATTTACATCATCAATTTCAAGACAGCCGAATCGTAAGATCAGCTTTGCAGATGGGATAGACCCTAACAGTAGCAACGAAGAGATTGACAAGAAGGATGATGATGTGCTATCTACACTCAAACGGATTTGCACGGACGTGCAGCTGTTAGATAGAGAGCTAAGAAAGGATGTATCGCAAAGGTTGTCTTCATCGCGATTAATAGCGGAAGATTCTTTTGATGACCGACAATCGCTTGATATTTCAAATCGCTTCATGACTCCGCAGAAAGAGACCAAACACGGATCTTTTGCCGCTGCAAATATGTCACAACGTTCGCCTTGGGGTTTATCTATGCTCAGAAAGTCTGGAACGGAGAACGGAGGTGCAAGCTTCTTGACAAATGCTAGCTTCAACGGAGCGCATGACAAAGTGTTACAACTTCTCACCGATGTTGCACCTTGGGATACGCGCTGGCATAGTATGCTCAAGATTGACTTGCGAGGGAGACGGGCGGACACCTTGTTGCGATTGAATGAATTCTTGCCGAAACTTTCCGAGGCTTTGCTTGATGACAATGAAATTGAATATCTCACCGGTCTTCCCAGCACATTACGATACCTTTCTATCTCTCGGAATCGGTTGCCTTCAACTGCTGCTTTTGGACATCTTGAAAATTTGGAAACACTTGACGTATCGGAGAACAATATTGATCTGAGAGCATTGCGTACTCTGCATCAATTGAAACATCTTCGTGCCAATAGCAATCGCATCACGACCATAGAAGGAATTCAAGATTTGGAAAAGCTCGAAACGCTCCATCTACGTGGTAATGGGTTGGATGAACTGGAGATTCAACCAGGACAATGGCCTTGCTTGCGAGACCTCGTTCTTTCTCATAATCGTCTTTCTGAAGTAGTTGGTTTGGGCAATCTAGCACGCCTTCGCAGCCTCAATCTTGATCACAATCGATTACAAGATCTTGACTTGGGATTCACAATGCCCAAATTGAAGCAGCTTCGCGTGAGTGGTAACAAGTACCTATCTTCACTTGATGTTGGACCAGCACGCAATCTACGTACCTTGTATGCAGATGAATGCAGTTTGAAAGAAGTACTGAACATCGGCACTTTGACAAAATTGGACAACCTCAGTTTGCGACAACAGAATGGAGATGGTGAATTGCAATGGCCAGTTCATGATACAAGAGATGTGAAGAGGTTGTTTCTGTCAGGGAACGCATTCCCTGCAGTGGCAATGTCAAGTAATAGTGCAACACCATCAAATATCTTCAACTTGTCATCTTCTAAAAGAATCACGCCATTCTTTGGATTGGTGTATTTGGAATTGTCTGGTTGTCAATTAACGTCTTTACCGGGAGATTTGGCGATGATGGTACCCAATTTACGCCAGCTTAATGCCGACTACAACCCACTTGAATCTCTCCCTCCAATGAACAAGATGAGCAGGTTGAAAAGATTCAGTTTGATCGGTTGTCGCATTGATCGAAGCAGTAAACTTATCGAAAGTTTAGAAGGATGCGAAGAATTGAATTTGCTCGATTTTCGAATGAATCCATGTACACTAGGATTATACCCGCCCATCATAACGGCAGCACCAAGTGGAACAAAGGTGAATCGTGCCTCCCTCGCACCAAATCCGCACCCTTTCTTGACTTTAGGGGAGAAGAACGAGGCTATCAATCAAGAAGCAATGAATGAGGGTTTGGAAAGTTTTGCGGAGAAGTCATTCTTCCACAAACGTCGACCTCCTCCGCCAATGATGATGATGGGAGAAGAAAGCAAAGCACAAATTCGTATGAATGAAGAAGAAGAGGAGGGGAACGAGGAGCCTGATACACTCCTTGCTGCTTCTGATTTACGATTTGCACGTACTTTGCCACCTAGCCTCAAACTTCAACGTCTTTTGCATCGTGGAATGTTGGCTATGGCTTGTGCCAATTTGACTTGGCTTGACGGACTTTTGATCGATGAAGAAGAGGTTCTCCAAGCGGATGAGTATTTACGAAAGAATCATGTCGTTCAGCGAGAGGATGCACGGTTTCGGTTTGAAGATGGATATCAAAGGGAAGAGCGTAGTGATAGCATTTTCTCAAGCAACAGCGATTGAATCAACTACTACTCGATCACACTTCATCCTGCCTTTCCAGTGCTATTCTTCTTTTTGTTCTGCTTGCTACCGCGACCTGCAAAATTAGGGATACGCCACTCATGCACATTTTGTATCATTACTTTTACTCAGAACGGTATCAATATTTCATTTGTTGTACTACTAAAGCTGTTTGCAAAGAATGAGTGTATTGTATGATGTTGAGAGATTTGGTATAATTATTCATACACATTAATAATATTCATCTTCGCTTTCTTCTGCCTCAACATCAGCGGCAAAAGGGCGGAATTCAGCTGAATCATGTGCTCTTCTCAACCTTCTTGAAACTTCTGCTTCGTCATCTCCACTTGCATAGCCACGACCGCCAAAAATGCTCAAAATGACGGGCAAGAAAACCAATCCATGAACGGCACCGATTAAGATTAAAGCGAACCATAGAGAGGCATAGTATAATTTGAGAATGTCGGATTGTGCCCAAAACAAAACTGAAATTCCGACTAATTTGGTTCCAGTAATACCACTGATCACTGATGGTCCAACGTCCACCAAAGCAGCCCAAGTTCGATCATCACGTTCACGTTGTGCTAGAGCATGATGGCGAGGTAAACTGCCAGGAGCTCGCATAAATGCTCTTGCAACATGTGCACAAAATTCAACGCAAATTGCAGCGCAAACTCCTAAGTTGACCAAAGTCAAAGCATTCAAACCGATCCCCAAAACGCCCATCACGGCAGAAACACAAAAGACTGCATTTGAAACGCACAAAGCAAGAATTAAAGCCGTTCGTAACGATCCCAAAAGTAAAGTTGTTACTCCAATGATTGCCAGTAATGCTCCTCCTAGCAGTTGAACTGCAAGCCTGTCCAAGTAAAGATATTGATCAAAGAAAGGAACATAGACTGCGTATGCATACACATCCAAGCTTTCAACGCCAATACTTCCTCCTGAAGCTTTACCGCTTGCTTCTTTTACGTTGGCAGAAATCCGTTCGGTGGCACGAAGAGCATCGATGAAATCGGCTTGAGAACGAAGTGGGGAATGGAACGTTCTGAAATGGGAAGTGATGATGCGATCTGTTTCAGGATCGATTGCCAGAGAAGCTGAATAAGCTGCTTGTCCTCCTAATGGACATTGAGCGTCAGTTGGACTGATGAGCCATTGATGTAAATATCGCATGAATTCATCTCCTTCTGGCATTCCTTCTAAAGTGATGTTCCATGCTGGCGTTCGATTGGCAAAGCAAGGTTGACAATCGTATTCGCTATCTGATGATTTGCAAAATTGCTTTGGATCCGAGTTCTTTACCCGACAGCATGATTCCAACGTGGGATTGAGCCATTGGAAGAAATCATCAATCCAAGAACTTGCAGGTTCAGCGATGAAGCTTGCTTCTGGCCTCTTTCGTTCTCCTTCCAGTGTGTTTGCAAGCGATAAAGGATGACAAGTGGTAAATCGACCACAAATGGCCTGCTGACCTGCACGAGTGGTCACATCAACGTCTCGTGCAACAAAATAAACCGGTGGTCCAACATCCAAGAACGAATCGACAGCATCAAAGTAATCGCGCAAATACGATCCTTTTGGCAATGCTAATCTTTGATCGAGTCCCATCTTGATACTTCGTACGCCAATACAACTTAATGCAAAGCTAGCAGCAAAAAGCGCCATGACGAAGAATTTGACTTTTGGTTTGATCAACGTAGGGGCATAAGACCTCCTGATCGTACGTCCAAGCCATCCTTCACCTTTCATGCCTTGAGTGGAACCCAAAACGAGACCTGAATATTCAGATGTAGAAAGAGTAGAATGAATTGGCGTACTAGTCGGCAATCGTAAGCAAGGCAAGCAATCAATACGATCTGCCTCTACTCGATCTGCGTCCAAAGCCATTGCTGCCACAAAGACGGTACATTGCAATAATGCGGCAAAAGTCATACTTGCAGCAGCATACAATGCAAAATGACGAACGGCAGGCATCGGAATCGTTGCGCCTAACAAGAATGCACATACTTGAACGGATGCACTCAACAAGATACTCGGTCCAACACGAGAAAGTGTTCGAGCAGCTCTCTCAGCAGCCGAGACATTGAAAGCACCTGATCGAGATCGTGGAGCTCGTGTGCCATAAGCAGCAGCGGCAGCAGCAGCAATCTCTCCTTCATCCTCGTCTTCATCATCTTCATCCAAATCGCCAACATTATCAGCTCGTACAGCGTCAATGCCGACATTCAATCCAGTATCAGTTGATGATCGTCCTCGTGAGTATGGATTTGCTTTACTGGCAAGAGCATTTTGTCTGTCCATCTCATCTGCAAGCAAGAAGATGTTATCCACACCAACAGCGAGCAGTAAGAACGGCAGCACTTCGACGATGACAAGTGTCACTTTGACGCCTAAAGCGCTCCAAACTCCCACGGCAGCAGAAACAGAAGCCAAGACGACCAAGATTCCAAAGAGACCAAGGCTGAATTTGCTTTGAACAAGGAATCGTTTGGCCAGACGTCTGTTACGGGAATGAGAATTAGTGTTCCTTCCTCTGAATCCAGGCAGAATCGATAAGATGCGGCCAGCAAATCCGCTACGTACAGATGATCCGCTGTGTCTTGAACGTGCATCGGAAGATTGATTACCACCATACGATGAATCGTCCGAAGTTGCTTCTCCACCACTGCCTAGCGTCAAAGAAGCATACAAGAACATGACAAGGTAAGAAAGAACAACAATCAACACATCCGTATTGCCTGCTCTGCTGAGTTCTTGTTCCAAACTGCTTTCGGTGTTGAGTGACATGACCAAGCCGAGCACCTCTCTCCGTTCACCAAGGGAGTTCAAGGGAGCTCCATTGATACCGGCAATAGAGAATAACAATTCCTCCAAGGCTAATTCCCATTGATGAGCTCTTTCGACAACTTCTGCATCCAAAGAATTGGCAAGGACCCAAGTCGTGACCAATGAGCGAGCGTTACTTGGTGCGCTGTCTTCAGGTAGACCACCTAGGATAATGTTGCGCTTCAACGGTTGTCCAAATACGGGAAGACATTCAGCAGGTGTCAAAGCACATCTGTCCAAAGCATCTTTCCAGTTGTCCTTGTTCAGACCCGCACTAGCCAAATCATCGTTGAAGTAACCCATCACAGATTGAACGACACAAGGACCTCCAGGTCCAGAAGGAGCGAAGCAGACGTCCTTGAGCGAGATACCATCCTTCGTTGTCAAATTACGCACAGCAGCTTCAACATCGGCCCACCATTCTAAACGTTGCCAATTGAGGGCTGGATTGGTAGTCTGCAAAGCTGCTTCCCATTCATCCTTTTCCATCAGCGTTCGTTGGCCGGATAATGGAGCGGCCGTTTCGTCCATAACGAACACTTGTTGTGTACGATAAAATGGTCCAAACTGTTCATCAAAGTACGTTTTACGATGACGTGCTTCGGAATCTGGACTGACCCAAAGACGAATTGGATCCGTTTCAACAGAGAATTTTGTCCAGCCGATATTGGCCAATGCGATCAGAACAAGAGCGATAGCAAATGTAAGATAGGGAGCACTGGCACATTTCTTGCCAATCCGATAAAAGAATCTGCTCAAGATCACACTAGGTGTGTACGATCGAGGTTGAGAAGCTGACAATGCCCATGCACCAGCTGCAGCCGGTGATGCTTCACCATCCGAGCGTGAAGAACCCATCAAGCCGGAGAACAATCCACGTCCTCTTCCGTTGGAAGCATCATCACTTGTGTCTGCACTCGCTCCAACTAGATGTTGTTGTGATGTTGGTTGTTCGTCTCCTTCTTCCGTTCCCATCCTAACCCGTTCGTATCCTGATCCTTCACTGCGAACGCTGATTCCACTATTTCTATGGCGAATCATAGCACGTTTGACCTTTTTGTTCTGACCTAAAACGGCCACTGCTACTCCTGCAAAATAGAGGATGATAACGAGCAAAGTGAAGCATGGTAGACGAGCTCCTCCAGGTAAGGGTATCGAACACATATCGCCATGTCTTGGCGCTTCTGCAGGCGGTAAAGCAGCACAAACAGCCGGGCAATCCGTACATGCACAGCGAGAAAGCAGATCAGGATCGTCACAATTGCGTGGCGGTGGATTGTAGGGCTGTGGCGGTGATGCAAGTGATGTGGGGTCTGAGGCCCATGTCAAATTTTGCCCTTCTTTCTGTTTATCGTGAGGAAAATTGATTTGAAAAGGACTGCCGATCAAAGGTCTTTCATCACCTAAGTACTTGAGTAATTGATCGGCATTCTTTGCCCCGCCTCCCAAAAGTTCAATTGCAAAACTGTTTCCTGGTCCAAATTTGACATCCTTGCAACTGTTGTAAAAAGATTCTCTCCATTCGTCTCCCACCCAAAAGTTCACCTCTTTTACTGCAATATCACCATCGACGCCACCGCTCGTCTTTTGAGATTTGACGACGTCCAAGAATTGAGATTGATCTCCATTACACGTCATTGCACAGAACAAACCTCTAAAGTTATTCCTACAAGCCGGACAAGCGGAAATCAAAGGTTCTGCTTGTTCCAAATTTTGACGTAAACTATCGACTTGATCTTGTGTACAACACAAAGATCCTTCAGCATAATCTTGTCCACAAACATCCACAGCGGATTTGCGTAAAGTTTCACTTGGTTCTTCTGCTTTTGATTCTTCCAATGCACATGGTAAATCAGGCGAAAAGAGTGAAGTCTTTCCACATTGTCCTCGCATATTACAATGGCCTTTACGCCGTTGGGAAGAAGAAAGCAAGCTCATCTTGGAGAGAGATGTACAATTTCACTTTCCCATAAAGAGGATGACGGTAGGAAGGAAAAGGAAATCGTTCGTATTCCAATTGTTCCAACACGTTTTGGCTCATGCGAGCGAATGAAATAGGGTCGTGCGTCAAACGCACAGACACTCGTTTTGTGCCTGAAATTGGACAGCGCCAGTGCACACCATTTTCCAAGCAAGTCATCATCATGTGTAATCAATCAATTATCATTTCATCAGAGAAGTATAGTATAGAAAAGAGAGTGAGTGAATGTATCTTAGAATCAAATCATATATACGAAGAAGATGAGGAGAAAAAGACAAAAAGTTTCCATGAATAGATGGATGGGAATCGTTAAAAGAGCCAAAAGAGAAACCAAAGAGCACCGTAAAGAAGAGAAGAAAATGTACACGTTGAATTCCAGTAAAGAGAAAGAGAGAGAGTATCCAAATGATCCGTTTTTTTGTTTAAAGAACTGATAAAGCACCGTTTGTTCGTAAAGTGCACATGTTTTGCATACTATACTTTCCCTTTCCTTTCGTTGATGCTTCCAAAGTCTTTCCACTCATAATCATATCGTAATGTTCACGAGCTTCAGATGTATTGCCTTGACTGGCGTATAAGCGACCTAATTCGTAATGGGCAAAGTAGCACAAATAATGGTCCAAAGAGAGTCTGTGAGATGATTCGATCACGTTACGCAAACTGATCTCTGCTTGTTCAGCTGCTTCATTTTGAGGAATTGGATGTTCAGATTCGTTTAATTTGGCATGCTTTTCAGGATAAGCGATATAACGTAAAGTCACACCACGCAAAAAGTGTGCTAAACAGTAATCATCCCAATATTCGTCAGCACCGGAATAGTATTCACTTGGATCTTGAACTTGATTGATTTCTTGAAGTGCTTCAGAGATATCCACCAATTGATTATCGCAAAGACTGTAAGCGGGAGCATTTGTGAAACAATGATAAATGTAAGAAAATTCAAGACCGGGCAAGAGTAATCTTTGTTGTCTGTTGTACTTCTTTGCCTTTCTTGCGCAGAATTTTTCCATCGGAATAGATTTTCCGGCAATTCTTTGCATCTTTTCAGGTACACTTGAGAAAATCTTGCCTGCCTCTTGACGTCTTGCATCTTTGGGGTCTGATGTGCTAGCATACAAATTTGCAGCTTCACCGTACGAATAAACACACTTGGACCAATTGGAATCTTTGAGTAGTGTGGTGAAACATTTGTAAGCTTGTTCGAATTGCGTCAAAGACATGTGACAGAGTGACATATCCCAAATACAAATATGTTGAAGTTGAACGTACTCTTTTTGCACATCTCTTGCTGCTTTAAATTGAGTGATTGCCTTCTCGGCCAATGATTGGGTAGAGTATAATCGTCCAGAGAAATAAAGGAAGAAAACACCTTGGGGATATCTTTCTAGATTGTAGTGCAAAACCTTGTCTGCGAAATCGATATCGACACCAGTGACGGGAATGAAAGTCGAAATGACCAAATGGTAGAGCAAAATACCCATATCACATACTTGTCTGCGAATACCTTCTTTTTCGACTGGCATTCCTGGCTTGTCAGACTTATGAGTCCATTCACCAGCACGAGCCAATGTCTTGAGGGCCCATTTCGTATCACCAGTGTAACCAAACACTTCCATAATCTTCAAAACTTTGCCGGGCAAAAGACCCAAGATCATACTGATCAATCCATTGCCCAAATAAACACCGGATCGGAAATCTTCATCGATGGTCTCATCACGAGATCCACTTGCACGTTCATCAGCCCATTCGACGTACTTGGACAAAGAACGATAGATACCATATGCATTTCGCATATTCAAAGCTTCTGCAACAAAGCCGAAAAAGTCTCCCGAATACAAAATACCCATAACGGCTTTCAGCAAGAGACTCTCGGCATAGATTAGTTCGGCATGACGTTGAACGATGCTCATGTTGGCCATCGTACTTGGTCCATGTCCGGTACCGCGAACGAAACGACCAAAGTTTGAGACCGAATTGGTTTGCTTACGCAAGAGTGTAGCCATATGCAATGCATCTTTGCAGTAAGAGATAGCTTTTGCCAAATCTTCAGGTTCAAAAGTCATGAAACCTTTGATAACAGCAATCAAAGCATCTCCCAAAGCGTAATACAGCTTTTGATCAGCATACTTGGCGATCATTTCTTCGGCTTCCAGCATGCGTGAGTTCAAGAAGAGATTAAGTGCTTTACGTGCCTCTTTGATATCTGCAAACATTTCTTCTTCCGTCATCACTACATCGTCATACGTCAATTTACGTACACGAGCAGACTTTTCACGAACGTAGAATGGTGTTTCGTTGCGTGCTTTTGCATCTGTTGGAGTTTGAGAGTCGTTGCCCGTTGGCATACTTCCAGATCGGCGTTTGGCACCTGAAGTTCCACGTAATTGAGAGGGTGTACGAGAAGAGTTGCTTCGAATACTGGAAGCACGATTGCTGGATATGGTTTGATCGGGTGAGCTTGATCGTTTGGCTCCATAAGAAGAGTCTTTTGATCTTGAACTTGCTGCTGCTACGGCTGCACCTGCGCCTGCTCCGCCTAGAGCAACACCTTCACCTTCACTCAAGCCACGATGACGATGGTGGGAAGCGTGACTTTGGTGGCTGGCTTCACGTTGAGCGGCAGAAGGTCGTTCTTGTTGTTGATGATGTTCGGTAGAATGATCTTCTTCTTCATCGTGTTCTTGAATATCACCCAAATCTGCATCGTGAAATTCGTCTTCGCTCGAATAATCATCATCATCTTCATGATTTTGTCCGTTTCCTGTCACTTTGCTTGCAATAGCTGCGGCTGCTCCTCCAGCTGCGGCTCCTGCACCAGTGATTGCTGCAACTGCGCCGCCCAAAACACCTTTTGACTCTCCTTCTTCTTCTTTTTGACCATTTTGGCCGTTTTGCTCAGCCTTTTGATGAGGATGTTGAGGAATAGAGGAATCTCTGATTAGGCCTGAGGAAGCTGTTCTACCATCTCCATTACTGAGAACCGCAGGTCTACTATGCTCTACCGGTACAGCGGGAACTGGAGGAGGCAAATTATCCTTTTCTTCTTTTTCGGTTGAGAAATCGTCACTTTCTGTTGTTGCCGTACGATTAGGGGTAGCAGATTTGCTCTTCATACCAGGCAAACGAACGCTCATCCTGCGAGCTGCGCTATTGGAGAAAGATGTTCTGCGAGAAGTATTTGTATCATTTTCTGGCTCTACGCTACTTTGACGACTTCTTGAACGGGAAATGATGCCAGAGATCACATTACGTGCCGAACGACGAGAAGCATTACTGCGATTATCGGAATCTTTACGAGGCGGTGTCAAGCCGCCATTTGAATCGCCGTTGGGAACAGGTAGATAATTTGGAGCATCTCCGTTACTTACTCCCAAAGAAGGAGGTTTTTCGTTGCTATTGATACTACCTTGCTTTTTGATCGATCCGTTTGCTTTACTTCCACGTTTGCTTACTGAACCGGAATCGGATGTACTTGCGGTACGTGAACGTAAGACAGCATCTGTATTACTGACGGGAGCTTGTAATTCACCACCTTTGCTACCGATTCTAGAAATGATTGAACGACGAGAAGGAGTGCTTTGTTTGCGTGAGAGAGTGTCACCTGAATGGGCAACTGCCACATCACCAGCAGCCATGATCGCGTTTTAGTTGAGATGGAAGAAAAGAAACAAGAGTGAATTTCTATGATTCCTTTGTTCACTTTTGCTTATGGATGCGGGAATGCAAAAATGATCAGCAGCACCACGATTGAGATGCAATGCTTCGGCGTATATTTGAAGAAAAGCTGTTCCTGTGAAAGCTGATGCAAGGCATGAGAAAGAGAATGACGAAGATCATCAGACTCTGGCTTGAAAAAAAAGAGTTGGATCGCCGTGCTGGTGCGGTAAAAATGAATGATGCGGAGTTTTTGATCCAAAAGCTAACGAAGACTGAGATTGTGCCTTAGTTGTGTGTTCACGTTTGATCGGATCGTCAATTTGTGCCTAAAAACACAATGATATGAAGCCATTCCAATTACCTATGCGGCAAAGCGCTCTTTATCCTACCATACCCCACCCAAAACCTCATGCAAATTTGCCCCACGTATCTGCATTAAAGATTAAAAAAGGAAGGCACTAGTCTAGTGCCCAAAAGGCCTTCGCCGCCAGAATGGGTGTGTTTTACTCTAGGCTCTAAACCGTGCTGTTTCTACAATACACTGCTGTATTGCCGATGCTGTGCTGTCTAAGCCTTATTACGTGCATCAATTTCACTCGGTAACGGAATCCGCAAATTTGACTGATCAAGTGCCGCGGTAGCCGTCCAATCAGAATTCGGTTTAACAAGCAACCGAGTAAAAAGAGCTTGTATGTGTGGGAATCATTTACCAACTTGATAAGTTTAACAATCGAAGCTCGGAAAGATTAAAACGATTGTAACAAGATAGATTGGCAAAATTGAATGCTATCACAGCTTTGAAATGCTCACAGCAATGATGATCAATCAATTTTAACGCGGTCGCGTTCATTACAACGCGTTTCATTAAACAAAGGCTTGTAAGATTAGGGCTATATCGAACTGCATTCGTGTCTGTCAGTAGTACTTCGTACCGTGAAGAAAAACCTGTCTGAAGCAGGTATATCATTTTCACCATTCATGAATCACGACTGATACGTAGACCAACTGTTCGACTTGAACGTCGTTGACGATGATATGAATAATAAAGTTACATTGGACGAGGCATGGCATGAAGTGTAATCCGCCCTATCCATTGAACCTGACATGGCTATTCACTAAGATTCATCCACTTGATCGCCCTATCCATTGAAACTTGAAATCATAGCCCTCGCTATTTCTCCCATTGGAAGGGTAAAAATGATTATTTAGTATCACTCGATACGCATACATTGAATGAAATCATTTGGTGATACATGTCATTTCGAAGATCATACGACCTGTCAGACAAATC